CGTGTGAGGTGGCCAGCTGCCACTCATCCGAGGCTCTCGGGCTGACGCAGGAAGGGTTAACGTACTCAGGTGGCCCTGGCGGGCCGTCCTTCCCACTGCCTGGCCCAGCTCCCGCTGTCTCCCACAGGTGTCAGTGTCCACGCCTGTGCATGAGACTCGTGGCAGGGCTGCCCCTGGCTCTCTGCCCGGTGTCCAGGGGGCTGCCAGAGCTCCGTCCTCCCCACTCGGACACCAACCGGGGGGCTGTGGAAGGCGGGTCGTGCGTGCCGTCAGTCTCTGCAACCTCCTGGGAGGACCTCTGGCTGGTCCTGATGGGCTGTCGGCTGTCCTCCAGCAAGGGAAGGGTGAGAGAAAGCAGGCCCAGAGCCATACCTAGCTGGCTGGGGCAGAGGGGCAGGGGTTCACAGGCGGGACCTCACACCCACCGTCTCTTCCCACGGCACCCAGTCCAGAGCAGGAGCCCAGCCTAGGTGACCAGGCGTGGTCCACCCAGAGTGAAGGCATGAACCACCCGGTCCCAGGGCCTGCTCAGAGGGGCCTGCAGCCTGTGCAGCTCCTGTCGGTGCCGATGTGACCCGCACCCAGCACCACGGCCCTCCACTCTGCAGCCCCCAAAGGGAGAGGTGTCTGGCGGGCCCAGGACAGGCCTGTGCAGGGCGCACCATGGGCCCTGCCCTCAGTGAGCACAGCAGCCTCTAAGCAGGGGCCGTGTAGTGGCCATCCTCACCTGGAGCCAGCATCTGCATCGCCCCGGGAGCCTGGTCTCTAGGGGCCCTTGCCAGTGCTGGACCCTTCTCCTGAGCGGCCTAGCCACACACACACACGCACGCATATGCACATACGCACGCACACGCACGCAGGGCGCCTACCAGCTTGCTGGCTGGGAGGAGCAGAGGCTGAGTGTCCGCGGGCAAGACTGCCCCCCAGTGGTGCGGCCATCACTGATCAGGGAAGCAGGTGCTGAAGGCCTCCCTCCTACAGATGTGGATTACTTTCCAGGAGGGCATTCAGGACTCAGGGCTGGCTTTGTGCCTTCTTCCTGCCCCCTTAAAATTACGTCTCACCAGTAAATTGCTAGAAGAAACTGGGTAAAGTGAAGCCCAGACTGGCTTACATCCATTCCTAAATACTCCAGCCTCTGAAGAACAAGGCTGAGCGTGCGGGCATCTTAAACAGCAAAGCTGGGAGCCCTGCAGGGCTCTGCGTTCACCTAGCCAGCTCCAGGGACCCGCTGGCCTCTACACAGCCACCTGGGTCCTGGAACTCCAGCAGGCGACGGATGGGACCACCTGTGGCCGGCTTGGTGGGCTTTCTGGCGGGGCTCTGGTGGGTGAATGCCCTGCCTAACACAATCTGGGAGGCGGGTGTTCCAGCCCCTGGCATGGGCGAGGGAGCTGTCCTGCCCAAGGTCTACAACTCTTGGGAGGACCTCTTCTCTCCACACCTGTACCCTCAGCTCGAGACCCCCTTATGGCTGCCGGCTCTGGGTCTACCGTCACGGTGCTCCCACTAACAGGAGGGAGGAGCCTCAGCTGCCACCCAGCCCTATGCCTGGGAGTCCACTGTGGCAAGTCTGGGCAGAGCCAGTACCAGGCTCGGCCCTCCTTGTCAGACAGAGGTGTGGTACCCCGTCAGCAGGCAGCCAGGGAGACAGGGCCAGCCAGAGGTCTGGCTCCCCGGGCTCTACATCCAGCCCAGTAGGGCAGGCGGGTGCTGTGTCAGGCCGAGTCCAAGCCAGACCAACGTCCGCAGCCTCTCTGTGGGTACCCACTGGTGCAGAGCAGGCCAGGGTCCCAGGCTTGCCTGTAGCCTTGCAAAAGCACTTGGCACCGCAGACCAAAAACGCCCTGTGAGGGCTAGCGGATGGTGTAGCAGTTGTGTTGCTGATGGCAGTTTGAGTCTTGGACACGGTGGCTTGAAACTCACACCGGGCACATGTACATCCATGCCCAAGATCCCGAGAATGGAGAAAAAGGGATAGTGGCCTGGCCACCCACCTCAGGGATGTCATTTCTTTTTTTTTCTTTTTTTTTTTTTTTCGCTATAGGGCGCGTGCGCTCGCCAGACAGACAGAGAAAGACAGAGAGACAGAAAGTGAGAAATCACCCCCCAGGGGGGATGGTCACGCCGCAATCCCTTCTCCTCCATTCTCCTCTCGGGATCCTGGGCACGCACGCACACACGCCCGGCGTGAGTTTTAAGCCACTGGGTCCGGGACGCGAACCGCAGTTGACTACGTGGGAGTCCAGCGACATAGCCATTACGCTAACTGCTGGTTCCCAGGGATGTCATTTCTTGCTTTCTCTCTCACTGTCTCTGTCTCTCTCCAGTGAGCACACACACCCTAAGGCAAAACCTTAAAAAAAAAGAAAAGTGTCCCTCTAAGGGAAAACTTGCGGGCCTGCTCTGGGGATCTCCAGGCCTGTTTGTGTGGCCAAGCGGCAGGCTGGGACGACTGCTCCAGGGACGGGGCGGAGGAACCCAGGGATGGCCAGGGTGTGGGGTGGGCAGGGCAGGGTCGCTGCTTCCCTCGGGGCGGTGTAGGCTCCTAGCCAGCTTCTTGTGGAAGGCCCATGTGCGGCCCGCAGTTACCTCGCACTTGCTGCGGAGGCCAGTCTCCTGCAGGCGGGACCAGATGCTCTGGATGCGGCCGGCGTGCTCGGGGTGGCTGCTGGTGCTGCCGCAGGTGCACTGGTGCTTCAGCATCAGCGTGTCGTACACGAGGCCTGTGGGCACAGAGCCGGCTCAGGGATGCCGCCCGGGCGTGCCATCCCCCAGACGATGCCCTGGGCCTGTGGCAACTCCGCTTGCCCAGGAGGGGACTGGGCAACGATGGTCCTCAGAACCAGGTTCTCTGGGGCCCCTGAGTGCAGGACGCAAGCAGAAGGGAGACCAAGTGGTGGCTGTGCCACACACGTGCTCCCGGCACAGCCAGGATGGGGGGGTCCTGCCTGGCAGGGTGCTCAGGGCAAGGCACTGTATGGGCTTCCAGGCACAGGAGCTGCTGGT